GATAACTGTATAATTTCTACAGCGCTTATTGTGCTGCCGCCGCACGATGGGGAAAGTCCCGTTTGATTAGCCTTTGAACGCCCAGTGAACTGGAAATGCGCCCCCTGAAACAAAGAGGAGAATTCTAATTCCCCCTGCAAAGCCCTTTGGTATTAACCCAGACACCAGAGCTGTCAGGGCTCTGCAAGGGAGGTGATGGGGCGGCGGCGGGAGGGGGGAAGCGATTCACTGTTAATTGGCACTTTGTAGGCTTTTCTCCTGCCTTCGGAAAAAACAGCCCTTGTTTGAAAAGTTTGTTGGGCCTTGCCGGGACAGCGTTCATGGGTCACTTCTTAGCCTTTGTCAATTTGCTTCTCTCTTACTCCCCTCCCCGCTCCCCCTCCCCAAGGCAGATCGCCTCCTTGCATTGCCCGGGGAAAACTCTCCTTGTGTGCACAAGATGCTAGATTCCATTCTTTGCAGACGGGTTGCAAGGGAGAGTGGGGAGCTGGCTTCTCACCCGGGAGCTGGGGGCGGGAGGGGGGGCATCAGCGGGCAATAACTGGTTCCATCCAAGAGAATCTCATGGAGGAATTTGAGGTGAGGGGGGTGAAATGAGCCCTCTTCCCCTCCCCATCGCCAGGGAACCAAGCAAGAAAGTTAGGCACTGGGATATTACAGCAGCTGTTTAAAGTCACGTTAGTGCTGACCTGGTTTTTGCGGGGGAGCAAAATTCCCCAGCAAATGGACATCTCTGAACCCCCCCGAGCCAGATCCTGATCTCTGTTACGCTAGAGTAAATCCACTGAGGCCCAGGGAGTGGATCTGGATGTACACTAGCATGACAGGGAGCAGAATCGGGTCCGGCATGTCGGACAGAAACAATCAGTATCAATGCACTTCTTTGGTGTGGTGAGGGATAAGAGTGGCAGCGGAGGGAAGTGGCTGGGACTAGTGAATTGGGAGCCCCCCCCCATATCCGCAGGGCTGGGGATCCAACTGTGTGTATTGCAACAAGCCAAACCTTTGGGGTCTATTCCCCCAGACCCATCACTCCTGGCCATGCTCCCTTTAGGGCTGGAGCCGTTCCTGCTTCTGTAACTCTGTGGCTGACTTGCTGAGCAGCCGCTGCCTCGGTTTCCCCACCCATAGGATGGTGATAATGGTACTGACCCAACTTTGTGAAGGGCTCTGAAGCGCCCTGGTAAAAGGAGCTATCCACGCAGACGATCTGTCAGCCTCACTGTAAGTTAGAGCAGCCTCGGGGCTGCTCTAACTTAGGGTATGTCTGCACTGCAGTCAGAGGTGCGACTGAAGCACGGGTAGCCATACCCGAGCTAGTTCTGACCCAGCCAGCTCAAATAACAATAGCAATGGCTTCAGCACAGGCTCTCCTGGGACCCTGAGTACACATGCGGGTGGCTAGCCTGTGCTGCCGCGGCTTCCCTGCTATTGGTACCCACGCTCGCTAGATAAACATTAGCTTGGGAGTACATCTGCATGTGCTGCAATCCCATCCCCTCCCTCCCCAGGACTGCAGTGTCACGCTCAGGATGCCTAGAGTGTCTGAAGAGACTCCCCGCACACAGGGCTAAAATACACATAAGCAAACAACAGGCTGCTTAACAAATACCTACTGCAGCAGGTTTGCCCAGTGGCGGTGAGTCACCGCGCACATTCCCTGTTGTTTCCAGTGTAAAAGGTTAGTGACTAAGGGCAGAGACATTCTTTCCATCCTGTGCAGCTTGGCCGGCCCCTGGGGCCACTTCCAAATCCCTCCGCACATCCTTAAAGGGCATTCTCCAGCCTGTGTGGTGCTGCTGGAATGCCCCTGCACACAGCACAAGCGAAGCAGCAGAACTCTGGGCTGGATCCCTAATTCCTGCTTGGCTGGAAGACATACCCTCAGCCTCCACCAGCCCCACTGCTCACGGATGGAAAGTCGGTTCCCCAACGTCCGGTTTAAGGGGTTGAATTGAATGATAGAGGCACTCTGGACCCGGCCGCGCTGAGACATCCACAGCCTGCAGCCTTGACCAGAAATGATGCTGCTTATGGAAAGCCAAGCAGGGGCCGACTGTTGTTATTGCATTGCTGGCGTGGGCCTAAGGTTGGACGTTTCTGACGGGTCTGGAAGCCTGACGGCTGGGCTCAGCATGCCTGCAGGAAACATAACGCTCGGGGGCTTTTTGCCCAACTCCGCTTTATTTCCTCTGCCTTCATCTTGATTGTGAACAGCTCCATTGGTAGGGTGGCCCTGTGATTAAAGGCCTAGGACCCGGGGCTTGATTCCCAGCTCTGCCAGAATCCCTGTAGGACCTTGGGCAAGTCACTCCATCTCTCTCTGGGACTCAGTTCAACAGGGCGATAATAATCGGCCTCTGCTCTGCTTAGATGGTAAACTTTTGGGGACTGGTATATTTAATCCTGCCTCAGCACCGGGGGCTGGACGAGGTGACCTCTTGAGGTCCCTTCCAGCCCTACATTTCTCTGATTTGACTACTGTCTCCACTCCCAGGTAGCCACGCACACTCAAACAGACCTTCCTTCTTAAATCCCTCGTCCCCTGGCAGCCAGCAAAATTCCACGGTGGCAGGATTTGGTGGCTGGTCTGTATTTACTTTCTCCATCTCACCCATCTCTTTCAAAGACCGCCCCGCCCCTCCAGACAGCGCACGAACGAATCGAACACAACTCGGCTCACATGGGAACAACTCGTTTATTGCACGACCATTACTTGTGCATTGTCAGTTACCTGAGTTACAAACATCAGGCCCAGCACTGGTCTGAGGGTTAGACCCCTCTGCGGCCCAGTTCACTGCCAGACTAGAAGCACAACGTGAATTCCTTGAGTTTCCCTGAATGGTATTCAGCCCCGGGCCCTGGTGAAAGCCACTGAACTGGCCTTGGCCACAGCATGGGTTCTGTGCTGCTAATTACTGCTAACTACTGCCACCTTGTGGTGGCCAAGCTGCCTCGCCCCATTCAAATGAGCTTTGCACAGGTCTCAATATAGCCTGATTTTCAGAAGGGCGGAGCACCCACAAAATCCACTGGATTCCATAGCAGCTGGGGGGGGCTGGCATAGGCGCCGACTCCGTGGGTGCTCCAGGGCTGGAGCACCCACGGGGAAAAATTGGTGGGTGCTCTGCACCCACCGGCAGCTCCCCGCCCCGCGCCCAGCTCACCTCCGCTCCGCCTCCTCCCCTGAGCGCACCACATGCCCGCTTTTTCTCCCTAGCTCCCAGCGCTTGCGCCACGAAACAGCTGATTCACGTGGCTGGGAGGGAGGGGGGAGGAGGGGGAACGCAGCGCGCTGGGGGAAGAGGCGGGGCCGGGGCAGGGATTTGGGGAAGGGGTCCAATAGGGGCAGGGATGGGGTGGAGTTGGGGCGGGGACTTTGAGGAAGGGGTTGGAATGGGGGCAGGGCGGGGCAAGGGTGGAGTCGGGGCGGGGCTGGGGGCAGGGGGGCGCAGGCTCCCACCGGCGCCGGGGAAAGTTGGCGCCTATGGTGGCTGGTGCTGCTGACAATCAGGCCCCTGGGTCCTGATCCCGTTGACTCCACCTGCGTTTGGGTAAGGAGCTTAGAGCGCAGCTGGAAAGGGCGTGCTGGCTGAACCCTGGACCCGGCCGGTAGGATGTGGTCACATGTTGGGCGCATACTGGTTCTTCTGCATTCCCTTTCATTACCAGCCAGCAGGGGGCAGGAGCTGGGAGCATTGTCTCTGCCTGTTGCTCTGGCCAACCAGGCAGGGGAGAGACCTCCATGCAAATCCCCCCATCCCCGAGCGGAGCACCCCACTTTCTCCTTGCTCAGTGATAGCCAGGGGAACCCCCCGACTCACACACAAGGGGGACTTCTGGGCTAGCACCCATGTCTTATTGGCCAAGAGGGGAAGGGAAGAAGAGGCCGAATGGAGTTGGCCTGGGGTTGGGGAAGGGGCCATCATCCATCTTTTATGGTGAACATATATCCCTCCTGAAAGGTGTCCAAGCCCCCTGCTCGCCAATCCCAGGGCCCTGAGCCCTTGGAACGGGATGGGAGGGACTCCAGGCTTTATCCCACTGGGAAGGTCTGCCTCCTACGGGGGAGGGGGGATTGTCTTTGAGGTGGGGGTGACACAGCTGGGAGGATGGTTTCTATCCTGCATCGGAGAAGTGGGGAGTCTTTATCCCTAGCCCTGGGACATCGTGGGCTGGGGCAGAGGGGAGACTCCAGCCCATATGAATGGATGGGTGAGGCCGCAGAGGCTGGAGTCAACGCGGCAAGGGGCAGGGGTATGAGAAGCTGAGGCAGCGTCAGTTAGACGACTGTGTAAGGTCTTTGGAGCATGCATGGAATATAAACAGGGAGCGGAACGGGTAAAGAGTTATGGTTGATGGGGACAGAGTAGGGGTCAGAGTTAAGGTTGATGGGAAGGGAGGAGCAGTCAGATGTTCAAAAGGATGGAGGGGGGGTCGGAGTTAAGGTTGATGGGGACAGAGAAGGGATCAGAGATAAGGTTGATGGTGATGGAAGAAGGGTTAGAGACTGGTTGATGGGGAGGAAGGAAGGGTCAGACATTGATATGGACAGAGGAGGGATCAGAGCTAAGGTTGATGGGGACAGAGGAGGGATCAGAGCTAAGGTCGATGGTGATGGAAGAAGGGTCAGAGACTGGTTGATGGGGAGGAAGGAAGGGTCAGACATTGATACGGATGGAGGGGGGATCAGAGCTAAGGTTGATGGGGACGGAGGGCGGATCAGAGCTAAGGTTGATGGGGACAAAGGAGGGGTCAGAGCTAAGGTTGATGGGGACAGAGGACGGGTCAGAGTTAAGGTTGATGGGGACAGAGGAGGGGTGAGAGATAAGGTTGATGGGGACAGAGGAGGGATCAGAGCTAAGGTTGCTACTGGACCCTTAGCCAACGATTTCCTGACATTTTTTGTTCCAGATCCAAATGCTGCTCGCACTGAAGCCAATGGCTGACCTTGACCTCAGCAGGAGGCGAGGGCCTTGCGCCTGTATTTGCAGGGCGAAGGGAATGGCAGCTCTGCATCACTCAGGCGCTGGTGTAGTTATAGAAGCTCTGTATAACGACATCCCTCTGGTCGGGGAACCAATCCCGCACGTGGCACAGCAGCTCCAGCCACCAGGGGTAGAACACCTCCCGTGCCCTGGTGGCTCCGCCTTTGATGATGGTCAGCGCGGCTTCAGCAGCGGGATAGGCGCTCATGTACACCTTGTCCCTGGAAGGGAACAATGACCCGGTCATACAACCCCCCCGTCACCGCGCTGGCCTGCTCTGTGCGAACGGACATCTCACGAGTGAAAGATGCAAACCAGCTCCACAGGGCTGTACACACTCACACGCATGCACCAATCCACCCAGATGCACGTATCCAGACGCTCATGCCCGCACACCCTTCCACACTCATCCATGAACGCACTAATACATACACAGACGTGTGCACGCTACACTCACACTCATGTACGCCCACGCAGGAATACACACACCGATGCAAACATTCTCGCACCATACATTCTCTTGCACACGTGCGAACGCCCACATACATGCGCACCCATTCTTGTGCACACACACGCACCTCGTCTTCTCCAAAGCCATTTCGGTGTCGATCAGCCCCAAGATGCAGAGTGTGATGCACACATCTTGCTTCTGCATGGCGAGCTCATGGCGCAGGGAGCTAAAGAATCCGTCCAGAGCGAACTTGGTGGCGGAGTAAGAGACTGTGAAGGGAGTTGAGATTTTCCCTAGAAAGGAAAACACGAGGAGAGGAAACCAAGTGAAACGTCTGGCAGAGCCTGACTGAGGGTGAGGGCACAGCTGGGAGAGAACCCCCTGGAAGGAATACATAAGAACAGAGGATTTGCTACATTGCATCAGACCATTGCTCCAGCTAGACAAGTTTCCTCATCAGAAGACGGAAACATCCAATCCCATAATGCACCAGGACAATCGTCATGCATGTGGGGGGGAAAGATTCCTTGCTGTTCGGGCTGCCCCCCGCCTGTAGCAATCAGTTCACACTCTTGGCCAAAATATCTTGTGTGGTGGTTTGGCTGCTGCCCTCCCATACACTCGGCCACAGCTGTGGGTATATGCCCCAGGAAGTGCTCTGAAGGTGGGAAGCCCTACAGGAACATGAAATGATGTAATCCAGAGAGGGCCAGAGTCCCATTCACGCTGCAATTCTGAAGACTGCTGCAGGCAGGGCTTAGAAACTCATTCAGGATCAAGCGGAGGCATTGCATCTTTATCAGCCACAGCTCTGTGCAGGTTTCAAGCACTGACCTGTGAGGGAAGAAACCACAATCAGAGATCCTTTACTCTCAGCCAAGATGGGAAGAGCTGCAGATGCCAAGGCCACATAACTCAGGAAATTCACCTGGAATGAAAGGAGAGGAGACGTGAACGGAATGGGAATGTGGCAGCCAAAGCCAAAACTAAACATCTGTTCAGTGGGCGGGCTGGGGATGGGGTCACCCACTCATTACAAAGGTGATGAAATGAAAGGGGCGGGGTGCTTGATTTGCTACATAAAGCATCCAGGGAAAGGTTGCACCTATCTGGGGGTCTGGACTGATAGGATAATAGGAACACTACATTTTGGGGCGCTTTAAGATTTCAGATTAACGAGGAGGGGTCAGAGTTAAGGTTATTGCTGCACATATACCCAAGGATTCCTTGAGTCTCTACGTGTAACAAGGAGCAGCTAGCTGTTCTCTGGTTTTCAGCCTGCTAGACAGTGGCATTCCCCACCCTGCTCCTAACACCCTGGCTTTGGTCCAAAGTTACCCTCTTCCTGGGTTTACCTTTATTGTGAACTTAATTAAAAAAGAATAATCATCAGCCTAAGTTTTCTCCTGAGCTTGACTGTTTTCCCCCCCTGCAGGATCTCTCTACCCCGACCCCTACTACTTCTTCTGAGAAGAGGCTCAAGCCCTTTCGTATTCTGGAATGGAGCTAGTAGGACTCAACTGATCTGGCCTCCCAGATGAGTCAGTAAAACAGCTCAGCATCTCTAGGGTTCTAAAACCTGACATCCGTTGCCTGATCTATTGGTTAAGTATTATTTTGATTTCCCAATTTAACATTCCATGGTTTGGCAGTGTTTGCTTGCCTCTAGATCCATCACAGTATGATTAATTTCAGAGTGAGGGCCCTGGTATATGTGGGAGAGACACTCATACTTAGGGAAGACCTTTTGAATTTGCAATAGTTTTATTAGCACAATCAGCACTATCACAAACTCTACAACATAGCAAACTAGATATAGATAATACAAGCAGCCAGAACTTGCATACTCATACCATCCTTTGCGGGGAGCCCCATAGTAGGTAAGATGACCCACGAGTGGTCCTTGGCCTGGCACATTCCAGGAAATCTCCCTGGGCCGAGTGCCACCTTTTAATCAGAGGTTACGCTAACGCCTGCAATGCCTAATGCACATTCAGTAGGTGTTTGAGCCCCTTTTCCTTATCTGTATTTCCTCACCCTACTAATGTTGGGGTGCCCTTCTCCTACTAGGCCTCTTAATTCAAGCTTATTAGCATATAAATCAGTCCGTTACCATGGCATAGGCCCATATATCTATAGAACAATAGCTGGCTGTACATTGGAGTGATTCAACAAAAAACCCTGCATCTGTAAGCAGGGCCCTAGGAGCCACTGACTGCCATGTTACACACCCTCACTAGCTACTACACTGATTGGTGCCCTAGAAATCAGAAAGAAAGACAGACAGACACAGACAGACAGAGATAGATAAGTGGCAATGACCTAAACAGATCAGCTACCTGCCTCACATCTCAGCAGCCTTCTCAATCAGCAGCAAAGCATTACGGACCTTTTCCTTTCACCCCTGTTTAGAGTCAAAGGGCCCCACTTCAGTGGAGTTGCCCCCGGTCTGCATTTGCCCCGCGTCTCTGAAAGCGAGGCCGATCCCAGGAAAGCCCGCGCTCGGCTGCAGAAACCCACCTGCATGAGCCAGCGGGTGTGTTCCACGTCTCCATCCCACATCTGGAAAGGGGTCCTGCCAATGTGGTTCAGCACCAGGTGATCCAGTCCCCCTGTAAGCAGCAGAGCAGGATGGGGGTCGGGGTCAGGGTCGGGACCATCCTTGGGCCAAGAGATGCAGCATAAAGGGGGAAGCAAACCAGCCAGCTCTTTCCTTTGGGCTGCTGGGAAGAGGTCCATCAGCTGGAGCCCAGGATGTGCCCAGTCAAGGCAACTCCTCAGGACCCCCCAGGCAGCACCTAGAGAGATGGCCCTGGGTGTCTCTTTCCAGTGCCCCTTGGCTCCAGGTGAAGCATTGCATGGTGGGAAGTGTAGTCCCTGCAAGCTGCAGCTCCATTTCAAAAGAGGAGGGTAGCTGCAGGCATCGCTGAGTGTCCCCTGGGGCACCAGCTGCGCCTTGGGCGCTAGGCAGCTGGAGTTGGCTAGACCCAGTTTGCCCCCCACTATCAATCAAAGGCACTGCTGAGACTGCAACCATTACCAGGCTGGAATAGACACACCAGGCACCCTCCTCACACACCCATCCATCACTGGCTGAAGTGGGGACACCGAGGCACTCAGCCACGACAGTGAGGGGGGGCTCCACAAAGACACGTCAGGCCAAAAGAGAATAAACCCAGGTCACCCTTGGAGCCAGGAGCGGAACCCAGGAGTCCTGACTCCCACTCGCCTGCCTCCGACCGAGGCAACACGGCGTCAACGGATCAATTGCAGAGCCAGCGCAGGACAGGAAAAGCCACCCCCCGCCCCCGCCCCCCATGCTTGTAGTAAATAAAAGCAAACCCTTCAAGGGAGTCACACAGCAAGGGAAGCCGTGTTTGGCGGCTTGTGACCTGGGAATCTTGAATTTCCTGCTGCGTTACCCGGCTCGAGGCAGGATGTACAGAGGGAGCTGGGTGCATAGAGACCTTCTCAGGACTGCAGCTCCCAGTTAGGATGACGCAGCCTGAGAGCAGCTGGGCCAGGCATGATCCAGAGAAAGATAGAATCACATGAGGGCCCATCTAAGGTACTTTCTAATGTATTTACCCTCATAACTCCCTGTGAAGCAGGGCAGGGTATTATGGGGAACTGAGCCACAGAGAGATGAAGTGAGTTGCCCAAGGTGACCTAGGAAAGCAGTGGCAGAGCAGGGAATTGAAGCCAAAGTCCTAGGCTAATACTCTAATCACTGGGCCATCCTTCCTTTCCAGCCTTGGCATCCCGGGAGGACAAAGACCTCTGCTGAAGCCTGCTCCGGCCTTCTGCAGCCTGGCTTCCCTCCTGGCCCAGGGAACGTCTGCCCGCATTGTCCCACCTATTGTATTCCACCTCAATCCAGAGGGACCCACTCCCAAAGGTTCCACCTCCACAGCCCAACGAGTCCTTGGCCCCCTGGCGGAGGCTACCAATGAGAAGGCGCACCTGGGATGGTGCTGTCTGCGATGTGGACATGTGTCCGTTAAGAACTGGACTGAGAGCTCATTACACACACACAACGTACATGGGAACAACAGTCTCCAGCTAGGCCAGATCTGTCTGATCTACTCTCGCTGGTATTTATATGGTACCAGCCACCATAGTAACTAGGTATGAATTTGACCTGAACCGCGCTGTGCCTCAGTTTCCCCATGTCAAATGAGAACAATACTGCCCTCCCTCCACCCCTTCCTCAGAGAAGCATCGTGAGGGTTAATCAGCTAACGCCCCTGAAGGACAGAGGGCTTGACTTTCGTTTGAGGCAAGGCCCCTTAACGCTGCTCTGGCAGGGTGCGATGGGTATGAATGTACACCCACTTCAAGGGCGCTTTACGTTAGCGGAGCCTTGGTGTGAATGAGAATCAGACCCAGGAATTCGGTATTATTAGCGAACCTTTCCCATCGGGCCATTCAGAACAAGACAGCTGCAACCATATTTTCCTCCAGCCCCCGGGGACCTGGAACTGTTATAGTCTCAGCCTGACTTTCACACGGACACCTGTTCTCCCCCAGCATCAGTTGCTTTTCTTCAGACGGCCCAATACGCACCCAGTTTTTGCAAAGCAAACTGCACCACCTTTTCTGGGGCTTGAGGGGAAGACATATCGGCCTGGATGTAAAAGACTTTCTTTGCTCCCAGCTGCAGGCATTTCTCCGTCACCTAGAGGAACAACAACAGACAGATCTAAGTCTACTTTTTTTGGTGGGGAGAGACAAGGGGCTGTTACTTCATTCACCTCACTGTTTTCATGCCATGGTCAAGAAGAGCCAACTATGAACAAAGTCACACACTTCACACCCACATTTACTTCCATCCAACCCAAAAGGGAGCGATTCTCATTTACATTAAAGGACTTGTCTACATGAGGAAATTAACCAAGGAATAATTATAACACACTAAATTAACACCCTACATTAACCCAGAATAAGAGTGCCCACATGAAAAACTATTCCAGAATAGCTATTGTGCTTTAAATTCATGACCTACCTTAATCTGAGAAAGAGAAACAGCAGAACTAAAATTCATTTGCAAATTTAACACCATTAATTTGGGCTTGAATAGGGACTGGGAGTGGCTGGCTCATTACAGAAGCAGCTTTGCCTCTCCTGGAATTGACACCTCCTCATCTATTATTGGGAGTGGACCACATCCACCCTGATTGAATTGGCACTGTTAACACTGGTTCTCTACTTGTGAGGTAACACCCTTCTCTTCATGTGTCAATATAATAATGCCTGCATCTGTAACTTTCACTCCATGCATCTGAAGAAGTGAGGTTTTTTGCCCACGAAAGCTTATGCCCAAATAAATCTGTTAGTCTTTAAGGTGCCACCGGACTCCTTGTTGTTTTTGTGGATACAGACTAACACGGCTACCCCCAATACTTAATGTGAACGAAGCCCGAACGAGACACTGCAACAGGCTTAGGTGAGCCCAGGCCTAGTGCAATGTTCTTACATTTACCTTCCCATCAGCTCAGAACCTTACATTGGGCCTGTTCTCACATGATTTCCGTACTCCAGAGATGGATGAGTTTGTATTTCCAACTTATTTGAGCTGGTTGGAAAATGTTTTTTTATCTCCTCAAAGAAAATTTTGAGTTTTCAGTCAAATATTTTGCTTGAGAACAGAAATATTTCAATTCCGAAATGCTGCTCCAGTGCCTCATGGGAGTTGTAGTCCAGAGTCACATGCTCCCTTGTCTCCTCTATAGGTTGGGGTCCCTCTTGGACTACATCTCCCATGATGCACCACAGCATCCCCTCTTGGTGAGGGGAGGTGGTGCATCATGGCAGTCATATGGTGGCACTGCATCATGGGATATGAAGTCTGGCTGGAGATTTTGGCCCATAGATAAGAATGGGAGCACAAGGCACCCAAACTACAGCTCCCAAAAAGTACAGCAGAGGCATTTCAGAATTGAACAATTTTGATTTGGGAGTGTTTTTCAGCGAAGACAAAAATTGACATTTTTCTACAGAAAGCAGACACTTTTCATGTAAAAATTCATTTAGTCAAACCCCCCATTTTCTGTCAAAAGACAGTTTTGGTGGAACATTTCTGACTAGCTCTACATCCTGTTTTTTTTAATGGCCACATCTTCACCCCTTCTGCTTTCTACTGTGTGAGGAGGCTCTTACTTTCTGCAGCAGGGTTTCCCTCCTGGCAGTCAGAACTATTTCAGCACCAAACCTGGAGTAATGATATGCCATCTGCTCTCCGATCCCAGCGCTGGCTCCGGTCAGGAGAACTCGGGCACCAGAGATGCTGTCTTAAGGGGTGGGGAGGGGGAGAGAGCACAAGAAGAAAGTGTTAGTGAAAGAAGAATGAGAGGAATTACAATTACTGATGCAGGGAGCGCTCAAGATTGGAAACTATCCCACTGCGTAGGAAAGATAGGAAGTATGGCAAGAGACCATTCCAGATATCAACCATCCCACACAGACACTTTTCAATAATCTTCTCCCGCACTACTTCCATAGCTTGTGACATCAGCTTAATTGGGAGATCATTAACACACCATGTAATAGCTCCTTTGTGTTTAAAAGTAGGCACCACAAAGCTTTTATGCCACTCATCTGGAATTTTTTCTCTTTCTTAAGAATATCATGGAACAAACTTGTAAAATACTTGATGCCTTTGCTTCTCAAGGACTTCACCGCATCCACTGATACTTCATTTGGGCCAGATGCTTTCTCCTATTTCATTTTCCTAAGCGCCTCTTCAACTTCTTCATTTATGCCTTCTAGTCCTGCCCTGAGTGCAGGGGACTGGACTAGAAGACCTCTCGAGGTCCCTTCCAGTCCTACAATTCTATGATTCTATGTAATTTATCACATCCAAGTTCGGCTTACATGTCCTTAATTCCTCATTCATCACTCTTGCAAAATAATCACTCCAAACTTTGTTGATCGATTCCCCATTCATTAGCAATATGCCATATTCATTTCTAATGTAAGCAAACTTGTTCACATCCCTCATCATCTTCTCTCTTGCCTTGGTGAGTCTACAGATGGTCTTCCCTCCCTCATGTCCTCCTAGTCAGTTATATAGTTTGTCACAGACCATACTTTTAGCTGCTGCAAAACACTTCTGTTAGCCTCCTTTTTTGCCTCAAAAGATGCCATCTTATCACCGCTCAAGCTATTGGCCTGCCCTTTTTTGAAGGTGATCTTATTTTTCCCCCTCAATGGATTCTTGAACTTGAGGATTGCACCACCAAGTCTCTCTTCTTATCCTATCTGCTACTGGTTTCGTCACTCCTAGGACTTCATGTGCCGTTTCCAGCAGAGCCGACTTTAGTTTGAACCAGGCGTCCTTCACACATCCCTGTGTCAGTAAGTCTACGCCTTTCTCCTTGTTTGAAGGATTTTTCACTACCATCTTTAAGTTTCCAACGCTTAGGCCTTTTTGGAGCCCAGGCGTTCAGGTATTTCCAAAGTCTCCGCATTCTGATGTCCATAAGGGGAAGTCTGTGCTGTCTCACAATGCACTTGCTGGGTATTACCTTCCAATTGATTATTCATGATCTGTTGCTTCTTCTCATTAAAAGGAAATCCATTTGGGACTTGTATCCTCCACCAGCATAAGTTACAAGTGGCTTTCCCTCTTCTGTAAGTGTGTGTTTACGATCACCAAGCCCAGCGCAAGACAAGTCTGTAGGATCGTGCTCTCTTGGAGTTTCTGTTTCCAGTTCTTTGCCCTCCGTGGAGTTTCATATCCAGTCTTTCCAGTTCCAACATGCGCATTTAGATCTGCTCTGATAATTATCTTCTCGTTGGATGGTACGTTTCCAATAAAGGACAACAACTCATCGAAAAACTCCTCTTTTACTCTTTGATCCTCTCCTAACTTTAGTAAATACCCCCGTATTATATGGCTCGTTACCTCTTCCCAGAACAGTCTGACACATATCAGTCCGTCCGACCTTCTGGTAACCTCTATCACATGCTTCTGCATGGTTTCATCCAGAACAACCCCAATACCGTTTTAGGATGTTGAACTCCCTGAGGATTTTGTAACCCTCCGCCAGCATCTTGGCTTTGCAACCCTTCCAGTTGGTCTCTTGCACGTCACATTTATTCTTGTCCCCTTTAAGACCAGACATAGCTCCAAACTTCTCCCAGCCAGCGTTCCTACTTTCCAACGTGCAGATCTCAGCTTACTCACTTGCTCCTTGCCCTGTTACAACACGCAAGGAAGGCTGTTGTGTGCTGGTCGCAGGGAACACCCTAGCCCTCTGGGGTACACTTAACATGGATATCAGTTCACATGAGCATGTCTTCACAGGCTTCACACCCTGGCTGTCCATGCCTGATGCCTTGGGTTTGAAATCGGCGTTTCCCTTCTCTTAGGTGAGCTGCCTGACACGGCTGAAGAGTCCCATCTGCCCCAGTAAGACTTATATTAAAGCGGTCTTTATTCACCTGGACATCCTCATCATTGGGCCTAAGTAGCATTGTACAGAGATAGCTGTGCCACCAGCTACGCTACCCCACCTGTGAAAAGATGTCACCAGTTGGTCTGTGACCACTTACTGAGCAGTTGCAGATGTCCTGCATATCTGCAGTACGTTCCCCTATCTGTTCCCCTACCCGGGGATGCACCTGATGGGAGCTGGTCACTCCTGCTGGCAACCAGTAGTACCTCTCTCCTTATTATCTGTACGACAGCGACTGAGATCAGAGTTATTCTGCGCTAGGCGCTGTACGTACACGTATTGAGGACAGTCCCTGCCCCAAAGAGCATCTCTAATCCCCAAATAAAACTTTGCATTTGAATAAACAGTTTACTGTTGTAGACTTAGAACTAATAGCCTATAAATATTTACATTTAATAAGTGGGATACACCATTTGCAGCACATACACTCAACTTCATCCTTTTCCCCTGTTTTTTTTTTTTTTCAACTTTTGAATACTTTCTTGTGTTCTGAAACATATTCTGTGACAGATTTTCATTTTCTTCCCATTTCAGTGTGTCAAATCTTTAAATAGTTAAATCTTTAAATCTGCTAACAGCTTGAGATGTGTACGTGGCGGGCGTGACATTCATCAGTACCTTCAGAGGCGCACACACTTCAGAGCTTGCGTGCAGGCCTGTTTGTTTATTGTGTGTATCTTCTAGACTAATACATAGTCTTATTTCAACAGGCAGCTTTGCATATACACACAGACTAATGTATTATCATAATACATAGATCTCATGCAATGGATTGTATGTCCCTAATAAAACCAGTTATTTTTATATATTTGAATAATACAAGAGTAGGGTGAACATCGGAAAAAAAGGAATAATACTTTTTGTAAAACCCGGGATTTTTTCAGTAAAAACGGGTTTAAACGGAAAACGAAGGGGCTTGCCCAGTTTACAGATGGAGAAATGAAGCACTGAGAGAGATTATGATCTAAAGAGACAAAAAATAGGAAGAGGGAGAACAAAGCAAAACAAGGAAAGCGACATACCCAAGGTCACACAGCTAGTCAGTGGCAGAGAAGGGAATAGACCCCAGGTCTCCTGAGTTACAGTCCAGTGTAGTACCCACTAGACCACACTGCCTGTCCTGTACCTAGCATATAGCAATGGCCCCTAATAAATACAGCTAGGCTGGCTCTTTCTTGATCCCAGCTTCTTTCACAGGCATAAGAACGGCCATATTGGGTCAGACCAAAGGTCCATCTAGCCCAGTATCCCGTCTTCTGACAGTGCCCCAGAGGGAATGATCAGAACAGGCAAGCATCAAGCGATCCATCCTCTGTCGCCCATTCCCGGCTCTTCTCTGCAGGTGGAAACAAGGACAGGCAGCTCCCTGTGGTCAGACAGCTGTCTCTAGACCACAGGCAAGCGTTCCACAGACCACAGTTTGGGAACACTCCCCGTCCCCCATTCACCTTCCATAGGTGCTGGGAGAGGTGGTTTCCATCACAGACAAGCTTTACAGTTTGGTTCAATGGCTCTCAGCCACACCCACACCCCCACTCTCTCTCTCTCTCCCACCCCCCACCCCTTCCCAAGCTCTGTCTGTTTCCTCTCTCCGCCTACCTGGGTCAAAGGTGTCTCTCCAGAAGAAAGCCAGGAGCCCAACTAGAATCCCAGCAGTACAAAGCGCTTTCCAAGGTGGGATCATCCTCCCCAAAGCCTTGGGGGAATGAACGAAGAGCGCCTCAAGGGTGAGTGCAGTGTCCCAAGCGCCGTCAACCTCCGCCCCGTGCGCAGTGAGCCGGCCTGTGTGAACAGCGTAATGGCAAGTGTGTGAACTGGCACGGGAAGTCCCCACTGGCAGCTAATAATAGTTGGGGAGGCCCGGTAACGAAATAGCTGCAGTTGCTGAGAAGGGGGTAAGGCCCAGCTGATCAAAGGAGCAGCTCCCACCAGAGTTCCCATGGGGTAAATTCAAGCTGCCCCGAAGGACCCTGACCCCAACACTGCAGGGCTGAGTTTCCCCTTGGACGCAGTGCAAGCTGCTTGGCTTTCCAAGGTCTAATTCTTTACAGATTGATATGGCCCTTGGATAAGTCAGGTGGGGTTACCATATTTCAGCAAGCAAAAAAAGGATGGGAGGAGCCCCGCCCTAGCCCCGCCCCTGTCCTCCTCTAGCCCCGCCCCTGCCCCTCCCACTTCCCGCCCCCCTCAGAACCCCCAACCCTCCCCCCTGCTCCTTGTCCCCTGACTGCCCCCTCCTGGGACCCCTGCCCCTAACTGCCCCCCAGGACTCCACCCCCCACCTAAGCCTCCCTGCCTCTTGTCCCCTGACTGCCCCCTCCTGAGACCCTCCCCCCATCCTAACTGGCCCCCTAGGACCCTACCCCCACCTGTACCCTGACTGACCCAACCCTTATCCACACCCCCACCCCCAGACAGACCCCTGGGACTCCCACGCCCCATCCAACCACTCCCCACCCCGACAGCCCCCCCCAGAACTCCCGACCCCCCCCCCCCGTCTCTTGACTGCCCCATCCAAAACCTCCTGCCCCTTCTCCGACCCCCTGGCCCCCTTGTTGTTGGCCTTCGCCTAATGTCTCTGTGAACTTGCTCAGGAACGGCCTGAGCCGTTCGTCCCGGCACGCTGGGCAGCAGGGGAGGAGGAGCAGGGGAGGAGAATGCAGGGAGGGAGGGAGGGAGTGATCTCTGCCGTAGGGGAGAGGAGGGGGGGCTCTCTCTGGCTGTCGGAGCCTCATGTAAGTGGCACCATCCGACCGGCTGCCCTGTTAGCCGCGCGCGCTCTGCATGGGGGGGGGGGGGAAGTCCGGACATTTACAAATTCCCCCCGGACGCTATTTTTAGCTCAAAAATCCGGACATGTCCGGGGGAATCCGGACGAATGGTAACCCTAAGTCAGGCTAACACTCTGTGCCTTTCTTGTTCACCTGGGACCTTTGATACGGCCCCTCGTAACCGGATACAGGACAATAAATAACAACAAAGCAAGAAGCAAAGTCCTGTTGTGGTTAAAAACTAACAGGAAAGGAAGCAGAGCTGTGGCGCAATGGTTGCTCCCAGGGCAGGTCCAAGGGAATTTGCCCTGCCTCTCCCAGTAGAACCATTTGATTGGGTCCCTGACCTCCAGGCTCCAGATTCAGTGCCAGAGCCCCAGCTAATGTAAATCAGCCCTGAAAATCAACAGAGCAGAGCTGATTTACAAAGTGTGCAACTTTCCTCCTTGCCCTAAACTCCAGGGCAACGGCAGCTGGAGGGGGGTGGTCCAGTAAGAGCAGCTGGAGGCATGGGGGGGGGGCAGTCTGTGATGTGTCCTGGTGAAAGCCAAGATGAAAGAGTTCTGAGTGCCCAGTTATTGCCACCTTGGAGTTCTCAGTCAGCCCCAGGCAACTTGAGCAATGAACATCCCAGTAGCATTTTAGCTTGTCCCAAGTGGGATCAAGAGACAGACTCACCTGTTTAGATGCTACCTTTCGTAACTGGCCGGAATTTGTAATCTGCTCTGCTGTTACATGGCAATCCCTCCTAGAAGGTTGTCCTCAAAGGAGCTGACCCTGCTCTGGAACATGATGTTTGACGCAGTTGCACTGGAATTTGAGGACTAAGGACAAAGAAATCTTTGACAAATCAGATGCAGGCTACAAATTGGCCAAGCTAATGATAGTGCCTTGCGTAAGCAAATAAACAAACAAACTGTTTATATCAATCGTGCCCTTCCTCATCACAACTCCTGGCAATTAGCTTGCCAATCTGTTACTCGGGGTTTCAGATCACAAAGCAGTGGTTATTTAACTGGCTTTTTCCCCAGGAATAAATCAACGGGGACACCGTTTTTCTGTCTGATACATGTTTGATACAAACCAGAATGCTTTTACGGTACTTAAAACGACTTTTTATTAAGCCTTAAGCGCACACACACAAACTTATATTACAGCAACAGGTTTAGAGCATTCCAAGACGTAATTTCCAAAGGCTGACATGGTTTAGAGGCGGTGACAGCAGGTCGCCGATGGCCAGTTGCCTTCGTGCTGGGGAGTTTGGGGTGTCAGCTTCTTGCCCGAGAAAAAGCTCCCTCGGTCTCCTCTGAGGTATTTACTTTTACTTAATTTTTTATAGCTATCTTAAACAGAGCGCGTCACTTTTAATGGGTTACTAGAGTAACCCCTACTGAGTGACTAATTTTTTTAAATTTTAGCAAATGACTTATTTTTTATTATCAAAGCATTTCTAGTTAGAACAACAATAAAATGTATATGTTAGGGGCACTTAAAACCAAGGTCGCCTGTCTAAACATTCCTTCTATTCTGATGAGCAAACCCCAAACTACAAAACATGCAGCTGTTTATCCTTGCCTTTTGAAATCCTTAAGATTATTTGGTTTGCAGCTAGCAGTGGCTGGACACATAAAATAGCTGACTGCAATTATGTTAAATTTGGGGGTTACACAGGGCCGGATTCTGAGCTTGCATAATCCAGTGTAAATAGGAAGGATTTCCTCTAAAGTCACTGGAGTCGCACCCTGGCAAATGTGGAGACAGATCAGAATCAGGCCCGTAGTAAAGGACTGTACATAGCAACTTCTAGACATTAATGAATTTGTCCTCGCAGCCCCCTCTGTGAGTTGGGTAAGTATCATTATTGCCATTTTACAGATTGGAGAAACTGAGGCACGGCGAGAGGACGGTCAGAGCTGGCAAGTGAACTCAGGAATTCTGACTCTCAGTCCTTAGCTACACAACCATCCTTTACCTTCCCAAATAGCTTAAAGGGTTGTTATCTATCCGCCCATCCCTCCCTCTCGGTCTTTACAATGTGCTCATTGCTTGACCTGATCTTCCACTCTTGCCAATACATCACACTTCAACCCAAAACTCAGAGGAGCTCCCCTAGAGAAAAGGGCTACGGTTTCCTTAGCTCTTTCAGTCACTGGCCTCTCTGATGAGATTGTTGATGGTCTTTGTCATGCAGACACTTATCCACAGAGAAATAGACAGACCTACCAAACTCATAACCTGCAGGACACCACACAGCCATCAGACGCTGTTAACTTGCTTTCACTGTGATTTGTCAGTGATATGGAGGGGAAAGGCATTATATTCTCCTCATCACTCAATCTTTCCAAAACAGCTATCAAAGAAACAGCACTTTCTCATGCCCTGTATCTGTCTGTCTGTCTTGAATGAACAGGATTAAAAAAGAATCAAAAAGTCATTTCTACCCTTAATGGAACATCTCAGCAAAGAATTGCAGAATCAGCACCAACTCCCAGCTTTAGCCATGAACTGAAAATCTAACTTTCCCTTAGGGCTGGTCCACACTACCCGCCTAATTCGGCGGGTAGAGATCGATCTTCTGGGATCGATTTATCGCGTCTCATCTGGACGCGATAGATCGATCCCAAAAGCGCTCCCCTGTCGACTGCGGAACTCCTGCTCGCCGAGAGGAGGAAGCGCTGTCGACGGGGGAGCCTGCCTGCGCCGCGTGGACCCGAAGTAGGTACTTTTAGTTCGATATAGGAAACGTTGACTTCAGCTACGCTATTCTCGTAGCTGAAATTGCGTTTCCTATATCGATCCCCCGCCCCAGTGTGGACCAGCCCTTAGAGTCTAAATGCCCGACACATACGTTATGCAACTTATTGCCACGATCCTCAAAACATATCAAATCTGAAATGCAAAATAAATTAAACCACATTTTTTTCAGCACCATAAACTGATTTCACCTCCCCCTGTCCCCAAAAATGTAACATTTAAAACTGATTCCAAACCCCGGTAAAAATATCGACAAGTTATATTTATATGTCACTTTCCATCCCAAAGGATCTCAGTGTATTAGGCACACTTAACATGATATACAAACTTACAGTGATGGACAAGAAGTGGGGGGATTTTACTTCTTTACTCCTCCTTTAAGGATATGATCTGCAAAAGGAAAACTAAAGACCTAACCCAGCACTGAAATACTAATATCATCCACTTAGCAAACTCGGTATCACTTGCCAGAAACACTCCTCCACTTCTTCTGACCTTTCTCTCCTCTCTCTTTCACTTACATAGTTTTGGCATCACTAGCCACTCCCCTTAACACTTAAAGAGACAGTCAACACAAGATCATTTTTTAAAGAGTTAACAATCCATCTGTCCCTAAGACATGCTGCCAATGTCCAGGGCTTTGCAACCACACTTTCCTACATTTAAAAATTAGTTGGCCTTCCCGTTGAGGTGTGAAAGACCCAAACAAATGACGGGAGAAAGGCTATATGCAAAGTGCTGTCAAATGCCACAAAGTCAATCAATGGAAAAAAGGCAGTGACAAATCTTTTTTCTCCTGTATTCTCTTTCAGCCATAGTCATCTTAAGTGTTGTTGATAACAACCAAGGTAAAGAATTCACGTAGAGAAGGGTGGTTTTAAAGTTGTCTGTATTACCTTCATTTTAAGGCTTGGTAGCTATAAATCTAAATCCTCACAAATGTAACAATAAATATCTATTGGCAGGGTTGTGCGCTCTGACAGCCTCATGAGATAAATGTCCCATTTCCAGCAAGGCTCCAGGAGAGTGGTGGTCAGAGAGACTTACTCCAGCTAACTTTGCTTTCACAGAAACTGTGACCCAATCCTGCAATTGGATCTGTGGGGATGGACCCCTTCATTCACATAAAGCCCAACTGAAAGGAACAGGGCTGCACATTGAGACACGTCTGCTACACACAAGGATTTAATTTTAGGATTAGGGCCATACCATCTGTTCATGTTCCTATTGAAGTTAACGGGACTTTTGCCAATGAAATCAAGGGCAAACAGAATCAGGGCCTATACACAAGGCCCCATGTACTCTGTGACAAGCTGAACCTAAGTTATTTCCCCCCACCCATTCCTGCAGCACTCCAGTGGGAATGACCATGGGGGTTAGAATCCAGGCTCACAGAAAGCCCTTTGCAGGATCGGGGCCCTAAAAAGTAAACAGGAGAAAAGACCATATCTGACTCTACAGCATGTTTGTAAATAATCAAACGAATACAGTAATAATAGCTGCACAGATTTTTATTGCAGATTATTAGATGGATTTCATTACTTGTCGCAGGGCTGCATTTACCTGCAGGTAGTAGGGATGATGGGATGTGAGTGAGATAGATACCTTTTATATCTTGGTGCCTTATCGTGAAATAATGGAGAGACGCAATATATTTCCATGCAGCAGGATGATGTCAGTAACAGTCAAATGCATCTTTAAGGCATGTAGCAGAATTGCGTCGCTAAGGGTGCAACGCGTGTTTAGTGCATGTTGCAAGATTGTGTGGCTACGTGAAATGTGATTTTAGTGCACGTTGCAACACTGCATGGAATTTTATATTTATTTTATTTATGTACCAGGCCTATTGGGCTGACAGCAAGATGCATTTTCAGTGCACGTTTTTTGCAGCATACGGGGGCTGGTGGGATGCATCTTAGTGTAGACAGAGATTCTGGGATAGCAGCGAGAAGGCTGCTTATTGCAGGGAGCAGGAATTGTGGCTGTGACGTTATGAGTGTAAAATAATATTTCATTGAAAGATGACAGGGCCAGAAAGAGTTAATTAACTCAGACTGACCTGACCCATGGGTGAATTGTAGAAACTGGTTAGGAAGATATGTTAATGAATAGAGCAGGGGTCGGCAACGTTTGGCACGCGGCTCGCCAGGGTAAGCACCCTAGCGGGCCGGGCCAGTTTATTTACCTGCTGACGCAGCAGGTTCGGCGTCCCGTGCCAATGGGGGCGGCGAGAAGCGGCGCGGGCGAGGGATGAGCTGGCCGCGGCTTCCCGCCACCCCCATTGGCCCGGGACGGCAAACCGCGGCCAATGGGGGCCACGATCGGCCGAACCTGCCGCGTCAGCAGGTAAATAAATTGGCCCGGCCCGCCAGGGTGCTTACCCTGGTGAGCCGCGTGCCAAACATTGCCGACCCCTGGAATAGAGCTTCGAAATGCAAGTCTGCATTGTTAGAGATCTCAAGGGTAGATGATTGCTCAGGTCTTGTGATGTAAGCAAACAAGTCTTGTCTATTGCTATAACTTTAATTCGAAGATCAAAAAGGAATATTAACATTTATGATGATACTTGAGTGAAATAGTATTATTGTCTATATGTCTCTTTGAAGGTTGTGGTAACCTGTATCTGAACTGTTTAATGGATAGGTTAACCTGTGCTAATTGCCAGGATGTTTGAGAGAAGGAGAATTAAGCCTATTGTTTTCTCAGGCCGAAAGGCTGCTGGAAATGTATAAGAACCCTGGGACACGATCCTACTTCATCTCAGATCTGCTTTGGGTTTCAAGAGGGGGAAACCTTAAGCCACAAGGATTGAGATCCCCAGTCACTGACTGGAGTCACCCTGAATATGGACATTGGACTATAAACTATGGACTATTTCTAAAAGGACTTTTGGCAACTACAAGCTCACCTCTGCTATGTATCTGAACCTCCAGAATTGAATTCAAGTCTGTATGTATGTTGATCTTTTAACCAACACCCTCTCTCTTTTCTTTTTTAATAAATTGTAGCTTAGTTAGTAAGAATTGGCTATAGTGTGTATTTTGGGTAAGATCTAAGTTATAATTGAACCTGGGTATGTGGCTGATCCTTTGGGATTGGAAGAACCTTTTCTTTTATATGATGAAGTAAGAGTTTCCGTAATCATCATCAGATCTGACAGGTGTGTCTGGACGGAGGCCTGAGGCTGGGCACTTTAAGGGAACTGCGTTGTTTGGATTGCTGAGTAACCAGTGAGGTACAATAGAAGCTGTTTTGTGCTGGTTGGTAAATCTAAATATTGGACTAACCACCAGCGTTTGGGGTTGGTCTGCCCCGTTTTGTTTGCAGTTCACCCTGATTGAGTGACCTCAGCTGGCTCCTAGGGCAGCACCATCACAGCGGCTCAGTGGTTTGCGCATTGGCCTGCTCAACCCAGGGTTGTGAGTTCAATCCTTGAGGGGGCCAGTTAGGGATCTGGGGCAAAAATCTGTCTGGGGGTTGGCCCTGCTTTGAGCAGGGGGTGGGACTAGATACCTCCTGAGGTCCCTTCCAACCCTGAGATCCTAGGAAGGTACATTTGTAAAGAGCCGGCGGGAGTTCGCCTATCTCTAGGCGATGTCCCAGGAATGTGTATTGCACAGCCGGCTGGCGGGGGGCAGGCAGCACCGGGAGCTGGGTGTGCGTGTGGCCCCGGAGGTGGGGCAGGGATTATGGGGGGGCTGAGCAGAGCTGCGGGGCTCGTGTCGCTGGCTCGCTGCCCGCGGCAGGTGCTTTTCCATCCTGCACCCCGGTCTGGACCCAGGCCCGGCCCCTTCCGCCCCCCCCCCCCCCCCCGACCTACCTGTCTGCAGAGGGGTGACCTTAAGAGGCAGGGAACAGTCAGCGGGCGGGGAGGTCACGTGTCTAGCCCCGCCCTCACCTGAGCCCGGCCTGGCCGCCATGACAGCTACCGAGGCGGAAGTGGGTGGGCGCTCCTGGTCACGTGATTACGCGGGGGGGGGTGAGTGACGTACTCTGTACGGGTAACAATGATCGCCGCCCGCCGGCGC